CGGGCTTAAATTTGGCTTAAATATTTTGTACTTCTACATCTTGGCTTGCCTGGGAAATTAAGGTGTGATTCAATTTTGTCAACATCCTTTTCCACAAAAAATACATTTTAGAAACGACAAAGTTTTTTTTTGATGACATTAAAAATACTTCAATTGCAAATAGTTTGAATTTGTACGGTAAAAGCATTATTTAGTTTAATCCGTTTCTTACGTGGCTCCCGTGTTGCAGTGCATCGTGTTGTGTAACTGTGACTCATCAAATATGGCCTGAACATGTGATTGGTTATACTCTACAAGAACATCCTCTTTGGATTAAAATCGACCAGAACAGTTTCAACTCGAGCGCAAAGAGATGTGTTTAATAAACATATTCATCAAAACAATTTAATAATTATAGATTTGATCACTTTTCTTTTTATTTATTTTTTTTACAAAATATTTATACAATTTTGGCACCTTTGAACCTCCGTAGTAAAGTCAGCTACCCTCTGCATAGGCCTCTAAGTTTGAAGTGAAGATTTTAGCAAATATTTTGCACAGCAAACAACCAATCAGAAAATTGCTCTGTTTGGAGACAGTACACACTTCATAAAAAAAGTAATTGAGAAACCAAAATGATATTTCTACCTCCACTTTAATGTTTAATTTTTGTTTGGGTTTTTTTTTTAGAGGGATGATTTGTAATCCGAGTATTATTATTCGTAGCAGGTGGTATGAGATAAGCTCCAGGAACATTTCCTGAGCCAAAAGAAGCTTAAAGGATATTGATTACTACAGTTAGAATAAAGCCACCAAACTTTTACCGATGAGGTTTTTCGTAACAGGAAATATTTCAACGCAGGTAAACTTGGGTTTGTGTGGAGCACAAAAATATTGAGGGGCGTCGTCGTGTTACTTTACTCTCCAGATAACTAAAAGCTCTATAAAGAGCAGGAAAAGTAAACAGTGTCTACTCTCATCTCTTCTGATTTGTCATTTTACCCGATCACGGTCCAATCAGGGTCAGCTTAAAAGCATAAACTTCGAAGGCGCACGCAGAGAGCAGCTGAGCTTTACTCATCTGATCAGTTTCACAAAACTGAATCACATATACTATTTTTTTTTCCCTCAACAGGCATTTTCTTGTAGAAGGATATATAATGTAATTTGAAAGAGCAGAATATTTTCGGCCTGAAATTTGAGCCCACAGAAACATTCAAACTGTGAAGCTACTCAGGACAGCAACAATCTGCTGAAACTAAACTCATAAGGAGGTCCGTCTCCTTTTTAAACCCACTAATTCAAAACACTTGGAGGTCTTGAAGGGGGAGGGGGTGGGAGCGGAGGGGGTAGAGGGGCTCTTTCCACACCAGATGACCGCTATAATGAACAGGACATGATTTCTCCCGGTCCTGCTGTGCCAACCTCATCACCTAACCAATCTCTCTGTGAGCTTTTTGTTCGGGCGGGGGGTTTTGGGGGGGGGGGGGGGTGGGGGATTACCCCCCCCGGAAGTTAATAATATGACCCA